CTTTCTGGATGTTCTGTCCTTCACCAAAAGTGGTGTGTTCAAGTCTCTGACTACTGTTGTGGAGATGTCTATCGCTCTTTTCAGTGCTGTTAGAGTTTATGTATTTTGGAGCCCTGTCGCTGGGTATGTTATTATAGTCAGGTCCTCCTGGTGTATTGACCCTTTATTCATTATATAGTGTCTTTCTTCATCCTTTGTGGTGGACTTTAAAGTCTGTTTTGTCAGAGATTAATATTGCCACTCCTGCTCTTTTTTGGGTGTTGTTTGCTTGATGTATTTTTTTTCCATCCTTTTAGTTTGTTTGTGTTTTTAAGTCTAAGGTGTGTCTCTTGTAGGCAGCACACAGACAGATCGTGTTTTTTATCTAATCTGCCACTCTCTGCCTCTTTATTGATGTATTTAGTCCATTTACGTTCAGTGTAATTATTGATAGGTATGAGTTTAGTGGTGCCATTTTGATGTCTTTTTTTTGTGTGTTGTTGACAGTTTCTTTGTACAACTTAATTTTCTGTGCTGAGTTGTTTTTATGTATTTTCTTTTCTTTGTTTTGATTGTTGTTGATTTTGTGTTTACTGAGTCTTTATATTTTTCTAGTTTTTTATTTTGACTCATAGGAATGTTAGTTTCCTTTGTAGTTACCTTAATATTTACCCCTATTTTTCTAAGTTTATGCCAGTCTTTTATTTCTTTATAGTGCCACGGCTTCCTCTGCATATGAAAAATCTATGTCTGCATTTTTTAAGTCCCTCTTTTCCCTCTTTTTTGTTTTAATGTTGTCACCTTTTACGTACTGACATCTGTTTCCCTATTTCCAGTGTTCTAGCTTTGATTTACTTTTGTGTCTTCCCTACCTGCGTTGATACCTGTTTGCTCTGTCCTGTGTTCTAGTCTTGGATTGCCATCTGATGTTACTGATTTGCTAACCAGAGAACTCCCTTTAGTATTTCTTGTAATTTTGGTTTGGTTTTTGAAAATTCCCTAAACTTCTGTTTATCTGGAAATGCCCTAATTTTGCCATCATATTTTAGAGACAGTTTTGCTGGATATGTAATTCTTTGCTTGCAGTTTTTTTCCTTTAAGGCTTTATATATGTCATCTCATTGCCTTCTTGCCTGCATGGTTTCTGCTGAGTAGTCCAAGCTTACTCTTATTGACTCTCCTTTGTAGATGACTTTTCTTTATCCCTAGCCACTCTTAAAATTCTCTGTTTATCTTTGGTTTTGGCAAGTTTGATTACAATGACTTTCTTTTGGGATTTACCTTATGTGGGGTTCGATCAGCATCTTGGATAGGTATCTTCTCAACTTTCACAACATCAGGGAAGTTTTCTGCCAACGAATCTTCAACAATTCTCTCTGTATTTTCTGTTATCCCCCCGTTCTAGTACTCCAACCACTCGTAGATTATTCCTCTTGATAGGGTCCCACATAATTCTTAGGGTTTCTTCATTTTTTAAATCCTTTTATCTGATTTTTCCTCAAATAAGCTGGTGTCAAGTGTTTTATCTTCAATCTAATTCTGACTTCCATTGCCTCAATTCTGCTCCTATGACTTTCTGTTGTCTAATTCTGACATTTTATTGTTAATCTCCTGGATTTCTGACTGCTCTCTATGGATTCTTGCAGCCTGTTAAATTTGTCATTATGCTCTTCTCTAATCTTTTTAACTTCCTCTATTACATGTTCTGCATTTTGCTTAACTTCGTTCCTAACTTCTTAAAAAAGTTCTATATATTAATCTTTTGTATTCTGCCTCCAGGAATTCCAAGAAATTTTCCTCCTCTGGAAAATTTCTAGATTCTTTATTCTGGGAGCTTGCTGAAGCCATCACAGACTGCCTCTTTATGTGATTTGATATTGTTGTCTCTGAGCCATCAATAAGTTATTATATTTATTTATGTTTGCTTACTGTGTCCTAGCTTCTTGTTTTGATGTGCCCAAATAGGCCGCTCATATGACCTAGTTTTATTATTGGCACCTTTGAAGCTCTAATGTCATGTCACCAGGTGGTTAGATCTGTTACTAGGTATGTAAGCCCACTCCTATATGGATTCAGCTCAAGTGCCCAGGTAGATAGCCATCAAGTATGTAGTGTAGGCTCTCACTTACAGTCCTAGACAGGCATGGGTGATTGGTACAGGCACAAGTATCTGGCTGCAGCAGGGGGACACACTGTGAGCAAGCAAGGGGCTGACGGCTGCCCCCGAGTGTCCAGGAGGAAGGCGTGTCCCTGTTCCCTAGAGCATGTAGGTGGGTGGGTTTTGCAGCCGGACTATGAGCACCTAATGCTGTTGGCTGTAAGGACTGGGGAGCACCTCTTATTCATGGGCCCCTATCACAGGTGGCTAGGTGGCGTAGGTGGAGCCACTAGTCCTCAGGCCCCTGATGTGGGTGGGTGAAGACCCTGCTTAATGGCACAGCAGTGTCAAATGGCAAGAACCTGCCACTTCACAGCTGAAACAGTTCAAGTTAGACTTCCGGAATATACTGTTATACCGCGGTAAAGAGGGCTTTTGCTGTTGAGATGGGTCCACACAAGCGTATGCAGGGGGAAAGGCAAAGGATCCCTTATGCCTGTGCCTAGGCAAAAGAGGTGTGCCTACCCTGGGTTTCTGGCTTGGGGGCGCCAGCAGTTTATTTTTTCCCTGTTTGTTAATTTGTTCACTCTCCAATGCAGAGAGAATGGCTCCAGACGGATCCTACTTCTGGCCCAGGGGACTCAAACAATTGCTGGAGCTGGTCCGGGACCCAGTGCAGAGCAGGGAGCAGCAAGGTAAATGGGAGACAGGTTTTTCCCTAAGTTGGGTGTTTTTCATCCGCACGGTAAACCACATGCAAGTACTTATCTTTTGCAGATGAGGGCTGCTTCTCACTGGTTCTGGGTGGCTGCGTAGACTCTCAGCGGTTGGGTCTCTCCCGGTGCAGAAAACGTGTCTCCTGAGCATGGCTGCTTGCCTGCCTCACCACTCACCCCCGAGGTGATCAGGCCTGAAGGGCTCAGGCTCTCACCGGGTCAGGTCTGGCAAACTCCTCGCTGCTTCCGAACTGTCTCTCCCTCCCCCTGACACTCAGTCCAGATCCTCAACTCTACCTTTGATGTTCAGGCTCCCAGATTGCCATATATAATCAAATCACTTGTTTTTTCAGGTCTTTGTTGTAAGAGGGTCCACTGGAAGCGTCTGACTACTTCACCTCTTGGCCCCGCCTCTATCTTTCCATTTTTGTAGGTCTCTTTTAGTCTCATGTAATCAGTGTTTTCTAATTTTCATCATATAATCTTTTATGTCCCTCGTTAGGTTAATCCCTAGGTATTTTATTGTTTTCTTTTTCAAAGTGATCTTTATTAGGGCAGAGGAACCAAATTGATTTTTTTGTGTTGATCCTGAATCCTGCAACTTTGCTAAATTCTATTAACTTCAGCAGTTTTCCTGTGGAACCTTTAGGGTTTTCTTTGTATAGGATCATGTCATCCGCAAGCAGAGACAGTTTTACTTCTTCCTTTCCCATTTGGATACCTCTTATGTCTCTTTCGTGTCTTATTTTTCTGGCTAGGACCTCCAGTACAATATTGATAAGAGTGGTGATAACTGGCATCCTTGTCTCATTCCCGTTCTCAAAAGGAAGGCTCTCAGCCTTTCTCCTTTGAGTACTATGTTGGCTGTTGGTTTTGCATACATGCCCGTAATGACACTGAAGAGATTTGCCTTCTATTCCTGGTTTTCTTAGAGTTTTTATCATGAAAGTGTGTCAATGCCTTTTCTGCTGGCATAAGCAGTGGGGCTTGACTTTCCTGTGGCGAAGGCAGGGGGCTCTCTACGTCTTTCCCTCACAGGCGCTCATGCAGAAACTCTCTCACAGTGTCCCACTGTGGGCAGGGAGCCAGCTGTTTCCCTTTGTTTCCCGGTGTGTTGTCCGTCAGTCCAAAGTACTCCCCTTGCCCTGCTGCCCTCTCAGTTCCTCCCGGTCCTAGTGCCTATCTGTCTTAGGCCTCAGCAAGATTCAACAGCAGTCTCTCACAGCGCCAAGGTCTCCCTCTGACCCCTCCCAACTGTGTGGCCCTCGAACTCCCAAGGCCAATCTGCACCATCTTAAAAAATGGGGCTACAGCTTCCTCAGATAAGCTAACTCCCTACGTTCCCTGTCTGGGGTGTTGTCCAGCCCCGTCCCAAAACGGCTATGAGTGAGTGCTCCAGATGTTAGCAGGTAGGTTCTCCCAGCTTCTGTGCCGTCCTCGCTCCTCTTCTGCGCCACTTCTGTACTCACCTGACTCTCCAGCACCTCGGCCGCCATCTAGAGTTCTGAGATCTCAGTCTGTGTTTTGTTTTTATTCATTATTCAGTGGGTTAGTTGCTGGGGGAGTAAATGGGAGTGTCCACTCACTTCTCCATCTTGCTCCGCCCTCCCACAAAGTACTTTTGAATGAACTTCATGAAAACAGTTAAAATGCTATCAGTTGATAAGCATTACTTTAAATTAATAATCTTTATATTATCAGCTCCTATGGGTTAAGTTCTATATCAGCAGACTGCAAGAGGGAGACGAAGGCATCAGGGATGCAGAACTATTCTGGTTTAGGAATCTCATCTTCTAAAGGAAAATTCTCTCCAATTAAAGGATCTTTTTCTCTCTTAACTACCAGTAGCACAAAACATACCCATCACATATAGATTGAAGAAGATTATTTTACATTACATAATATTGGATATTTTTACCCAGTAATTAAATAAATTATCAAGCACTTCTAATTGAGAGCCCAGGAGAAAACACCACTTTGGCAGAAGAAATAGGAGCTAAAATCTTCAAAGTGCTGAAGGATTAACCTATGCAAATGTTTTCACCACACTGGGAAGAGAAAAAAACAGAAACGCAATACTCAAGAATTATCCACTCATTCTCCGGGGCTCATCATCTCACTTTGTCACATGCACAAACCTAAAACTGTATAAAATGTGCTATTTGAGGGGCGTGTGGGGTGAGGGAGTGTGTCTTCTGAATTCTTACCTCAGCACCGAAGTAGTTGAAGATTCCCACTACACTAACAGGAACCAGCTTGTTCACACAGCGTCCCAGAGCTTTTCTCCCAAGGGCAAACACAAAAGGAATTTCTTGTTCCCGTGCCATGGCTATAACATTATAGAGAGCCTCATCCAAGCCACCTAAGAAAGTCATCACATGCTGAGGTTTTAATTATTTCCTAAATGAAGCTAATTTAACATCCAATAGCTAAAGCATACAACACAGCACCATAGGAATCTATGAATGTTTGTTACACTTATGCTGTTCCATACATTCTCCTGTTTGAATTTGTACTACATGCGGGTATATATATTTATATTTTCTTTCCAAATTCCTTTACAAGTATTTTTGTCCCTTCATGGGCATTAGTACAGGAGTCAAATTTTAATTCAACAATCATTTATTAAAAAGAAATTAATTAGAATTGTTAAAAGCGGTTGACTCTTTTTTCAACCTCTCAGCTCAACAGCAAGCTATAACAATTCAATCAGACAGATTATACATATTACTGTTTTTATTGGTGTTTCTCCCCCACAGGTACGCCTACTACTACTACTACTACTACTACTACTACTAGTGCTACTACTCAATGCATCTTCTGCTCCTCCACCAAAAGAGTTACATATGAGTGCATGGCTTGGTAAAGTACTCATAAAGCCAGCCCTCCCAAGAGATTCAGTATGTAACTGCTGGTCTCTGAGAGATAAGTCTCCACCATAAGTAGCAAGAGAGACCTTTATCTTTTGCTTTTTCTTTTTAAGAGGAAAGGGACATCAAAGGAAAGTAATATAAAAGTTTAAAAAGCAGAACATATTTGCAGAGGTAAAGAAATGCACTCTTACTACCCCCCCCGACTCTGACCATTACAGAGACACCTGGTCCTTCACTAAGGGTCAGAGATGAAAATTTTCTTTACAATTAATCTCAATTACACTACTTAATTTTAGGTACTGGAAGATTTACATTTTCTTCCCTCATACTCAATATTTTGTTTTATACCTAAACTCCACTGAGAAAGACATAGAGCTTCTATTTTAAAATTCATGGTATATCCTACAATTACACTAAATATATATCAAAACACTTCAAAAGCAAAATGTTCGTACCTTTTGACTGGATTTTTTCACAGTTTGGAGAAATTATAACACACCTGATCTTGTTTAACTTCATATGTTTGGTAACCTCCCTGAGGCCCATAACCAGTCGTCTCCTTGCTTTTGCTCTTACAGGATCCTTCTGGTAAATGCGTTCCTGGAAACTGACAAGCTCTTGGAGAAGAAGAGTCACACATTCATCAATCTCTTTACATAGAACCTGATTACAATACCTGTAGAAGAAAGCAAAAATAGATAAATTGTATCCTAATTTATTTTCCTGTAATTATAAAATTGCTTTACGAAATAAATACATCCAGTAAGAGGTTTTCATAAAAAGTCAGGTCTTCAAAATTTCTTAAATTGTTCAGTCAATTTAGAAAAACAGAACAGTGATTTGGATTGTCATTGTTTCTGAATTCCAACAGTTTGGCTTTTACGTAAAAGACAGAATAATCTCAGGGAAGTACTACCCAAACTCCCAATTATTAAATTCCTAAAGGTACAAATCAAGTTTTAGCTTGCTACTAGGTAAAAACAGGCATAATGTTTTTGATAAGGAGATATAGATAAAGTTACTTCATGACAAATGATTATCAAATATGCTTGTGGTAAGAAAGAAATTTTACAGAAGCTAACTGAAGGCCCTAATACCAACAACTCATCCTCCAAGCTTGGATAAATCACAATCTCTAGGCATTGGTTACTTATCTATAAAATAAGGAGCCGGGCAGGGTGGATTCAATGATCCCTCTAGCTCAAAAAATTCTATGGCTATGAAGGATGAACTCAAAAATTAAACTGAGGCCAAAACAAAAGAGACCTTGAGGTAAAGGTCACATGTCTTTACGTGAGACAAAACAACAGAATGAGGCTCTCTGTGAGATCATGTATGGCTATAATGCAAAAAAACCCAGAAAAGAAGTAAGTATGAGGTTACTTTGTTCCAGAGTAAGGAAGTCGTTCAAGCTTACCTATTCCCTCATCTCTACCATAAGCAGGCACTGAACAAGGAGAACTGGTATAACATCCTATCTGGGAATAATCCCAGGCAAGCAAATTTCCACTTCTAAGTTACATTATGTAGTAGAGAAATCTAGGCCTACCCTTCTGCAGTGTAAAAAAAATTTTGTTTGGGGAATTTTTTTATGTTTATCTGAAAAATGTTTAAATAGGTATGATACTACTTCAGAAGAGAAGGAATAACTGGACAGATTTAGGGAATAGATTAAGTATCACAGTTTAAATATGCAAAATTAAAGAAAGCAATTAAAGAAAAAACATCAAAAAACACAACCTTCCTCATTCTTTTCTTTTTTTTCTTCAAGCTGTTTACTTCATACACATAACATTCTCCTTAAGTGTTTCATTTGGTCCACACATCTGTTATTTGACATTTAAGTGACTCACAAATCTAGGTATGAAGTATTTGCTCAAAAACAATGGTATAAGAAAAAAGAACAGAACAAACCAATGCAGTTCAGACTCACATAGGTTATACTTTCCCTGGGATTCTTTCAGATACCATTTTTAGAGGTAAAATTAAATCATCTAGATGAATATTAAAATCCTAAAATCCTTCACAGCCATAACTGTTTACCATTATTCACAGACACGGTATGCATATTTGTTATCCCCTACGTTAATTATCTCAATTTTAAAACTTAAAATATTTGCTCAAAAACAAATAGCTTCATGTACTAGGTCCACTTCATGTAAACAGAGTCTTATAAACCTGATATTATTTGGTTAGAGAGGTTTTTTGAAGTATCAATAATATGAATGAAAAAGCAAAATCATTCTGGGGCGAAAACTCATACTATGGCACTTTATATATAAGGTGTTTAAGAGGCTAGATTTCCAGGGTATAAATATTATCTGATATACAGAGCATACATTTACTGTCAGATCACTTCCTCATGAACACTGACAGAAGGGAAATGCTTTAAATATAATAAAACCAGCCGTTAAAATCTGAAAAACTTAAAAGATTGTTGGTGTTTTGTCTGCTCAACCGACTGAGTGAAAATGACAATACTAAATTCAAAACTACAGTCAAGATACTTAAAACTAGTCAACCTCAATCACAAGAATAAGACTTACTCTCTGAATCTTTTGCTGTGGATTTTGGTTATTGTTGAAGGCGCCATGGGACTGCCTATCCCAGAGCTAGCAGGAGAGCCCTGTGACACGGGAGTCATACAATACGGAGAGTTCTGACTTGCTGGAGACAGTGACGCGTCACTGGCCATGCTCAGTCCAGTATCTGGGAGATGCGGAGGTGGGGAAAGAATTGAGAAACTTCAAATGCTGAAAAACTCCATACTGATCAAAATAATTTAGAATGGCAGTTGTCTTTTGAGTCCCTTTCAAATTCTCTAGAAGCTAACAAGTTGGGCATTTTTCATATCACAAATAAACAATTTTCATATACTACAAAAATAAAATCTTCCTATTATCTATTAAAATATACTTTTCAAGATCAAGCACAGCCCAGAAGTCTTCACATAGGAGAAAAAAGGAAGACCGAATTATCTAAAACATGTCATCCTAGAGGATTTGAATTAAAGAACAAAGGTATTAACGTCTGAACCTCTTTCCAGCTAAACTCAATAAATAAGTTAATATTTGTATATTCAGGCAACTAACTAGCAAAGTCACACATATATCTTCTTATCTCTGTATGAGACTGTAAGTTCTTTAACAGCGGGACCAGTGACTGTAAATTTTTATCACCTTCCCCAACGCCCCTGCCCCTAGTTACTAAGTGCACACAGGATGTGTTTAATAAATATTTCCGAAATTAAGGATAGAGACACCTAAATATTCAGGGAATCATATTAAATTGAGAATAAAGGGTAATTCCACGCAAGTATGTCCTAGTTGAATAATTCTTAGAAGTAAACTCATTCTTCTAAACCAGTGGAACACTACTGCTCAATCTATGTGTAAATCAGATTAAACGTGTTACAAAAAGTCAAGGAACAAATATACACCAGCAGGAAAAGGGAGCTAGCCAGGTCTCTCAGAATTTTTTTCTTTCAAGGTAGTATAAATTCTAGAAGAAATCTGCAATTTTGGTAAAGTACCAACTAGAACTGCATGTGCTGGTTACTGTATGGGCCTGAATCTGAATGATCAACTGGACTCTGCACTGCAACTGGCTTTGCAATTCTCTACTCAGTGTGGAACATGCATTAATTCCATAAAAGGGAGAGAGAACATCAATAAAAAGGAATTAATGAAAAATGACTCTGAAAAGAAGGGATAACCAATAATGTTCTAAATATGAAAGAAGACAAAAATGAAAAAAAAATTGTGATAGAGAGGAAATCTCATGCATTGGTGGCAGTCATAAATTTGAGAGTTTACAACAAATTCTGGACTGAAGCCTCAAAAATGTCAAAGACCTACTGTATAACAGTAAAAAATCTTAAAAAACAAATGAAATTTATATAAAATGTGGAGTACATCTTCCAATTAGGTACATAACTAGTAATTAAATGCTTAATTAAAACACTTCGGCCATTCCATGAGAATAGAGAAAAAAAAGTCCTTACCTTCCTGGGAAACACTCTCCTGTGGCAAATCATCAATAAAACCTAAGTGCATTTCTACTGGTTCCTCAGATCCCAGAAGACTGTGGTCCACAGTTAAGCGCCCCTTCTTTTCCTCTCTTTCTTTCAAAATAACCTAAAAGTCATTACCAGTCTTTAATTACTGATCACTCTTTAAGAATGTATTGAATGATCACAAGGTACACTATTACACAGGTACAGCAGTTCACTTAAAAGCGGTAATGAAGATTTTAGTTGACTACGTGTTTTTTAAAAAAAAGTAGAAACTGGCAAAAAGGTGAATATAATTTTGGGCACTGTCAACTGACATACCATATCCAAAATAAAGGGAGGCAATTATACTGCAGAATACTACAGCTTTCAAACCACATCTGCTTCATTCTTTCAATCCTGGGTGATAAACTAGAGCATTTTCCCAAAATATGGATAAAATAAAAAGTTTGGAAACCAGGTCATAGGGTTACATCTGATTTCCATTTTGTAGTTTTCAATAACATGGACACGGATTATCTCACTCTGATCCTCCTAATAACAACACTGAAGCAAAGCAGATCGTATCCCTGACTTACGACTGAGGAAGATGAGAGAAAGAAAGGCTTGTCTAAAGCTACATAATAGCACTGAAGTTAATACCACAACCCAGGGCTTCTGATTCCTAGACCCCAGTGTCTTTGGATGTTAAACATTTAAGATTTTGTTTGTTTGTTTTTAACCTTACAGAAAGAATTGATTCTCCAGAGCCTTGTTCCATACAGAAAGACAGCCATGATGCTACTGACATCCCCAACCTTGAATTAACTATACAGACGCATGTATGTCTAAGATGACTTCAAAATGATCTGTTGGCTAAAGAAGCACAACTACTTTTGCAAAACAGATTTAATCCTTTATTCTGCAAAATAAACACTCCTGGATTTTAATTTACCTTTTTAAGTGCTGTAGGTCGTTTTAGTTTTGCAATTTCCTTCTCTTTTCCTTTTTTGGCTTTGGAGGAAGTAACATCTAAAGAATTTAAGGATGTCAAACAGGTCTGACTTTTGGTTAAAGGTTTTCTGTTGGCAGAGTCTTTAGTGTGAAAAGAAGCTGCAGTGGCCACTAAAAACAAACAAGCACGTTAGTTTTACTATTCCAGCCAATTCCACATAATTTCAAAATTTCCAATGACAAAGCTACAAAAACAAGAACATCCTCTTGCCCACAACATAAGAGTGGGTCAGCAGGACCCCTCAGATATAGCTCTTACCCATCTTCTTAGCCTCCATAAGATAAAGACGACAAAACCAATGAGATTAATCAGTTCAGTTGTCCGAAGTGGCAATAAGTGATTAGTTTTGCTCTACTGGAGCAACTCTCAAGAATGACAATTCTTCGCAACTGGTCTTCAGTCAGAACCATTCTGCCTCTGGAATTTCAAAACTCTGCACCTCTCCTTACTCCCACCCAGTCTATTTACCCTCATATATGAAGTCCAGCATTCCTTTCCTTGTTTCAGTCTATCAGTGAAGAACAACTTTTTTCTCCTCTCAGTACTATTCAGTAATTATTTTATGCCTGGTAAACCCATGCCGTGCAGTGGTTTCCAACTCACAGCAACCCTACAGGACAGAGCAGAACTGCCCCATAGGGTTTCCAAGGAGCGGTTGGTGGATTCTAACTGCTGACCCTCTGGTTAGCAGCTGAGCTTTGAAGCACTGCATCACCAGGGCTCCCTGTACCTGGTAGACACTCTACTTACTTACTCAGTGGCCATCCCTAATCCTTTAACATCCCTCAACCTTTGATCTCAATTCTCTTATGCTAGCAGAGAAGCTTCCCTTCCACTTTCCTGAGATGTTACCCAATATAAACTTATAAGCCACCTGAGAGGAGGTAGCAGCATCCTTACTCCTGTCCAAGGCTCACCAACCACCAATGCTCTTAATCCTCTCTCAGTTTCTCTACCATCTTGCTCTAGTCCTTCCTCCTTGCATCTTTCAAGTTTCTCTTTGTGGTATGATGGATCGTTTTTATATAGACTTTCTCATCATGGTCCTGTAACTCCCAACAAATGATTGGGTAGGACTATGCAAGTAAGGTGCTTGTGACCCACCAAGGGGATTAGACAGCTTGCTAAAAATGCAGATAAGGTGCATGGCACCCTTGTGGGGGTGGAACCATGAAAATAAGGTGTATGGAACCATAACGAGGGGACTGGTCAGTTTTGCCATACTGCTAGGCTTTTTAAGACACTGAGACACTGACAGAGAGAGGGTGAAAGACAGCGGCACAGCAGTAGCAAGAGCGATAGCGGCTTTAGACATCAGGAACCAGAAGACCAAAACAAGACGGCTGCAGTGGAGCTTGCCAACCTACAGAGCTAGGAGGTTTGTAACACTGCCCGAGCAGGGCAGAGGCAAGGCTGAGAGGCCTGTCTGCGGGCACAGCTGAGAATAAGCTGTCCTGACTGAAGAACTATATCCTGAGTCATTTCTGATCCTGAGTTTTACCATTACTTCCATAATAAACCCCATAACTGTGATTAAGGTCTGTGAGTTCTGTGTGGCCACTGCAACGAATTATCAAACTAAGCAGAGAAGTAGAGTGCCACGAGACAACCGGTTGGTGTCAGAACTGGTAAAAAAGATTGAAGAGAGGACGGATGTCTGACCTCTGCCTCACAGGAATCAGCCTTGGGCTGTTATGTTGATTTTCCCACCTCCTTGTGAAGTCAGAGGAGGTCAGATGCCCCCACCACACCATTTTTACACTCCTTAATTCCTGACTGTTTTCCCTGACTCCCTACAAGCTAAAGTCTCCTCTATCTAAAAGAAAAAAGGCAAACCAACAAAATCCTTCCCTTGACTGGCTTCCCTTCCAAGCTAAAGTATCATCACCCTCCTCTTCTGCCCTATTTTCTCATCACTCCCCAAATCTTTACAATCTGGCTGCTCTACTACCCACTCTCCTGAACCTGCTGTTGCTGAGCATCATACATACCTTACAATTCCCAAATATAACTTTCTGAGTCTTCTTCCTATTCTAACTCTGTACCAAAGCCCACATTATCTTCCTCAGAATTCTATCCTTGCCTTCAGTAACATTACATTCTATTTTTCTTCCTCAAACCTGTTTTTCTGGTTCTTCTTCCTTCTGTCCTTTAACTATGAGTGTTCCCCAAGGCTTTATTACTGAACATCTTTTTCCTGGTTTTTCTTTCTCCTCACAATCTTATATATTCCCATAGCTTCAACACTCATCTCTTTGAAAATCCCTGACTTCTAACCTAAACTGCTAAAACAACAACCACAAGGATCTCCTTCACTAGCATTTCAAATACAACAGAACCAGAGCCCACTCTAACCAACAAAACTCTTCCTCCATGATCTGTATCTTCTTTATTATCAACAGAGCCCTCAACACCACCACAGTCCTCCAAGCCAGAGATTTTGGAGTCACCATTGACCTAGTTCACATTCCATCAGTAACAAAACCTTACCAGTTCTTTCAAATCCTTTCTTCCCTACCAGTCTCATCCTTTGCTTGGATTTCCCAATGACTTTCTTTGGAATCAATACTCTCCAATTCAAACACTGGTTTAAAACAGGGCTTCAAACCGGTTCTTTCCAGTTCAACCATGACCAAGGAAGTGTCACCAGAACACACCTGAAGTTGTAATATTTGGGTGAGGGACTTTCGGCAAAATGGCGCTCTAGGCAGAAGCACCACACCATCCCTCCATAGCAAAGATCCGAAAAACTAAGCCAAACAGAAAACAAAAATCCTGAAACCCTAAAACATCAAATGAGGAGATAAAGAACTCAGCCAAGCACCAAATGGAGTGAGAAAATTGACAGAGAACAGAGAGCGAGGAGAGATTCATGCAGAGGTCCCCTATCAGCTAACGCAGTGCAGATCCGTCATCTTGGACTCCTATCAGAAACCAGCAGAGAGGGGGTACGAGAAAGCAGCTTCACGGAGCTTCCAGCGGGAGACTGAACAACCGGTAATTTGCGATATACGCTTTCCCACCCCCCACCCTTCTTCACCCCCACTTGGCCTCCTCTGCATCCCGCAGCCACAATTTCTTCTCCGGGAAGCACCGGCTGCTTGGATTCCACCCACCTGAAGGGGCCAGCTCTCTGAGTGCCATTTGTTGGCTGCTGGTGCTGCTTTTTTCTGCTTCTTCTGCTTGCTTCCTTACCTCTCACCACCTCCCCCTCCTTCCGCTCAAATAACTGGCTCCGTGCGCCATCTTTGCTTCTTCCTGAGGGGCTGCAGAGCTCCGGTAATTTGTGATATACACTTTCACACCCCCTACCCTTCTTTACCCATACTCAGCCTCCTCTGCTTTCCGCAGACACAGTCTGTTGTTCGGGAAACACCGGCTGCTTGAACTCCGCCATCCCGCACTAGCTGGCTCTCTCAGTGCCATTTGCTGGCTGCTGGTGTTGCTTTTTTCCGCTTCTTTTGATTTCTTCCTTACCTCTCACCACCTCTCCCTCCTTTCGCTCAAATACCTGGCTCCGTGCCTCATCTTTGCTTCTTCCTCAGGGGCTGCAGAGCTCCGTTCGAGTGTGGAGCTACTTCCCGGTCTGGGCTGCCGCGCTGGTGGGATCCCGGGGCTTTTGTTCGTTTGTTTGTTCTGAATAGATTGTTTTCTTTTCCTTTTCTTCAGTTGGGAGCCTGTTCTGGCCAAGTGGTGCTGCATGGCTTGGAAACTACCACTTCGGCTTGCACAGATGTGCAAAGGGATCCCTGAGGGCATTTCTTTTCTCATTGTTTTCTTTTCTTTTTTCTGTTTTTTGGGGGGCTTTTCTCGTTTTGTTTTTTTTTTAATTTGTTTTGTTTACTTTTCCCTTTTTCCCTTTCTTGATTACTCAGTTTCTCATCTCTCTATGTCTTCCTTCTCTTTCTGTTCCCTGACATACCTGACGTTGTATACCTCTACACCTTCTAGCCAGGTTGTACTACAACACCTGAGAACAACTTCCCCAGACCTCACAGCAGCACTGGAGGGATCCCTGGGAACTTTGCGGTTCTTTAACTTTTCCAATTTTTATTTATTCATTCTTTCCTTTTTTTTCTTCCTCCTCCCCTTTTTGTTTTTCTCCATTTCATAGTCTCTCACCTCTGCACTCCAACAGCAAGCTCCCCTAATACTCTTTTTTGATTGTTTGTATGTTTTTGGCTCCTGTTCCTCTCTCCTCTCTCCCATACCCATCTTAGTTCCACACATAATAATCTCCCCGCTACATCCTGCCTACCCGCCCCATGAACTTCACATCACACCACCGAGCAGCACAGGCACAGCCTACTGGGACCTGCCCTGCACTAATTACTGACCTGCCCTGGTGGCTGTAGTAAGTGCCACAAACAACCTGTCCCCATAATTCCTCTTCAACTAAACCTGCCCTGCCATACCATATCTGAGTGACTGACCCTGCCAATTGGAGAAGGAGGCGAACAGTACTGTGCCCACAGACAAGGAAACAAAAAAGAACACACACCCCGCCTACTCAGGCATAGCCAAATTAAAAAAAAAAAAGATACGAAACAAACAAATCTACAATCAATAAATGAGAAAAATAACTACTGAATGCCCCAAAGACAGCAGACAATATCAAAACATTCACAAAAACAGGACAGGATGGTGTCAGTAGGCGAACCAAATAAAACACCAGATGACTTTCCAGTGGAAGAAAAGGCACTAGAGAACTACCCGATAGGGAATTCAAATCTCTAATACTCAGAATTCTCCAAGAGCTAAGGCAAAAAGCAGACAAATATGAGGAAAAAACAGATACAATTCATGGAAAACACAGACAAAAATTGGACGAATTCAGAAAAATAATGCAGGAACAAAACGCCAAAATAAATTCACAACTACAAATTATAGAAAGACAGCAATTACAAATCCAAAACGTAAACAACAAGATTTCATAAATGGATGGTGTCATAGAAGGGCTGAGAAGCAGATTTGAAACGGTGGAAGACAGGATCAGTGGAATTGAAGACAAACACTTGGATACAAGTCTGTTTCAGGAAAACTCAGAAAAAAGAACAAATAAAAATGAAGAGACCCTAAGAGTTATGTGGGATACAATCAAAACCAACAA